AGCCTGCGGCAGATCTGGTTTGCCATGATGGCCTTTTTCCTCACCTTATCTAAGTGTGAGTTCCAGTTTAGTTTACTGTCAAGTATTACCCCTAGGTATTTAGTTTCTGTTTTGAGGTTAATAGTTCTGCTTTCAATGGAGGGTGCTTTTATTTGTAGCTTCCTTCTCCGAGTGAAAGGGACTATTTCGATTTTATTGGGATTGATGCTGAGCCCATTGCTTCTGCACCAAGTACTGGTGAGTAGTAGGGCTTTCTGCATTAGCTGAGTTATGATTGAATCATATTTACCTCGGATTGTGATTACCAGGTCATCAGCATACCCTTGTATCTTAAATCCGTTTTTAGTTAGGGTGTTCATCAAGTCATCAACTACCAGGCACCATAATAGAGGTGATAGCACTCCCCCTTGGGGACATCCTCTTAGCGCCTTTATAGTCAGCGACTCGCCTCCCAGACTGGCTGTGATCTGCCGACTTTTCAACATGGCTATACACCACTTGATTGTCGACGGACGTATGTCTTTTACGTTTAAAGTCTTCTCTATGGATTCATATGAGGTGTTATCATCGTTGGGCTATGAAAACAACCAAGATCACGAGCTTTTCCTGGGCACACTTCGAAGTTAGAAAAGAAAACGATGACAGAAGACTTCTCTGTCACCAATCCATGGTTCAGAAGTCCCTAAAGCCTCAGAAGATTAAAACCTTTATTGTTGTTAGATAGAGAAGAAAAAACTGGTACCTCCGAACCAAGACTTTTAGCAAAGATCGTTTTGATCAAAGCCAAAAGCAAAGAAGGTGTCATCAAAGAGATCAAAACACAGATCAGAACACCAGGTCCGACACCGACTATCCCTTAGATATGTAGATATTGACTTGATTTATTTACTTTAAAAGATTTTACGAGAAAATTATTAGATATTAAATTGATATTATAGACGTTGCGTTTCCTACATAAATGAGAAATTTGAAAAGGGATCCATTATTTGTAATCGCAAATTATACATGAAGGCGGGACGAAATGCAATCGAGTTAAGTAGCAACCTGGGCCCGCAACTTTATATGAAACGTAAATATTTAAAGTAAAGTTTTAATTAAAAGCTTCGGCAACGCGCCGGCAGAGGACCCCGTCGTCTCCTTTTCCACCCACGACAGATCCCGTCCCGTCCCGTTCGTTCCTTAATGAAAGCTCAGAATTGGATTTCGTCCTTCCGCCTTTGCGCGGTCGATCCCGAGCCGTCGAAACAAAAGTGATATCTTGTCCTTTGAAGAAGACCCCTTTTTATTTCTTACTCATTCCACTCCAAGCCGTGGGGTGCTCACTTTTCTCATCCTCGGACGTTCCTTGGAATAAATAGATATCGAATATAGAAGGGTGCACAATTAGTTTCGTTTTGTTTAAATCATGTTGGGGGGATGATAGTAACCGGCGACCTCACGTTTGTCAGTCGTAAAATACTCCCCTTATCGTAAAAATTTATAAACACGGTTTTGGGTCACATCGAACCCTTAACTGAGATAGACGGTGGAAGATGGTGGTGGAAGTCGAATTAAACGGGAACGTGCTTTCCAACCACACATAAAGGGTATTACCCCGATACCCCATTTTATCTTTCTCAAAGTTAATTTTGATTATAAAAATAATCATCACACAAGCAAATAACACAACTATTATTCTTTTAGATTAACATCGCTTAAATAGTGATCTCAACGCTTCATCAATATACAAACCTTATTATTTTATTTTCTTGTTAACAATATTGCTCTTTTACGCTTTTGCTCATTCTCAACTTTTTTATATATTATATACATTTTTGGAGTATTATATATTGTTGTATAACATTAAATATTAATAATACATTCTTAAAATGATAGTTTTAAAATATTAGAATTAATTTTAATAGTTTTTAATAGATGGCGCCTACACATCTTTTAAAAAATCGAAAAATTTTGATAAAATATTTGGTAGTTATACAAGAAGAGTACTTTTTGATAAACTAAACAGTATTTGAATAAAAAATTCGCCAAAAAGCGAATTCTTAAGATATCGTAATGAAATATGTGATAATTATAGAAGATGTGTTTTCCATGAATCAAACCGTATTTGAATATCTCTATCCATTTTTGAGATAATAACTTTCGAAATTAACCCAAATTTTTATTAATTAGAATCAGATTCAAAAATTTGCGAAAAATCGAATTCCTAAGATATTTTAATGAAATACGTGGTTATTATAGAAGAAGATACGTACTCTTTCATGAAACAAACCGCATTTGAAAATCTCTATTCGTTATTGAGATAACAACTTTTGCAATCAACTCTGAATTAAAATGTGTTTTAAAAATATTAGAATTAATTTTAATAGTTGTTAACAGATGGCGCATATACACGATACAATCAAAAGGGGGCAGAGACGATTATTTAAGTATGTTCAAGTGGTAATGAACTCTCTTTTAATGGGAATGATTTTAGAACAAGTAGAGAACCAGTGATTTCAACATTACTTGATGATTGAGGTCCAAATGAATGGGTTCGGTTTTTATTGTTGTGGCTTCTAAAGGTATAAGGTAGCTTTTAAAGCTAACTGTCAAAAAGTCTGAGACATCAAATGTCGTTGTTCAAGCCAAGCTGATTGGGTTTACTGAATGCTGTTATATGGGCTACATTATCCCCTGAAATCTATCCAATTTTGTTTCGATATGACATCGAACGAATATAGATGCCCGTTTGAGGAACAAGAATGTTTGGAGATCAAATGAGACCGTAATAGAGTACCCATTAGCTCTATGTGTACGAAGGCATTGATGCGAATGAGTAGTGGGTGAAGTAGTGTCATTTGGAGTAACTCTGCATGGTATTATCCGCCCTTGCATTGAAGTTGGATATTGTAGATACTTCCTATATCATATTATAATGTATATCATTTAAGATTTCTTTTGAGATATTAATCGTTGAAATATTTTGATTTATACAGAAGTTATGTGAGGAAAAGTCAAATCTGGGCGAAAATATAAAAGATAAAATATAGGATTGTTTCATAAAAATATAATAACATGAATATAATCTTTTTATGATATACTTAATATAAATTATAACCCACCCATTTCATTGTTGACGTTAATTAACGAACCAGTAGCCGCTTTTAGACATGGAAATAGTACGGAGGCTAAAATAACAATGAAGTTTTTACGAAGCCATTACCTCGGTGTATATTACGTTATTATTTAGTTTTCGTACGATAAGTAATGTAACAGTGTTTATGTAGCTTAATTTTTTGATGTGAAAAGGTCAAAAATCCTTTTAAACGTTAGTTCGGAGTGACACGCAGTTATATTTCAAGGATTTTTCGTGTTCAGTCGAGTCAGTTGATAACATTATTAGGACCATTATTTCTCGCGTTCTCGCGTCTCGATCCCGTCGACTGCAGCGGGGAGATAAGCCGCCCTTTGGGGAAAGTGGGTGGCATCCGGTTTGCTACACGAAATGGTCCTCAATGAATCCCCAAGGCTGGACGGGCAGCTTGGTCGATTATTCTTTTACCGCGTCATCGTCGCACCATTTTTAAATTCCTTACCCAAGCGAAGTGCGCACGTAATGTAAACGCAGACGAGGAGGATGTTTATGTTTATATACAAAGACCCTCGTGCCGTTAGAGCGGTAACGTAAATATAACGAAAGAATTGCAGTTGGGGGTCACCTATACGAAGAAGTTAAACCCCAATTAGATAGGATTTTGTTTATCACAAGAGAACTTCTCAACCTATTTTCAACAACAATATGTTATTCGAAAACATAATTTCTCTAATCTTTTATGCTTTTACTCTTAAATGCATAAATATCGAGGAAAATCCAAAAAACTAAATTTTACACATCATAAAAATAAATACATCATTAAATACATTAAATATACAATTGTGACGATATTGTTAAGAATAAAATTATCTACAACTTTTATACTAAAGATTTTTTAAAGATGTGATTGCGCCATCTATTAAAAACTATTAAAATTAATGCTAATATTTTAAAACTATCAGTTTTAGAATGAATTATTAGACCCTATGTTTATATAAAAAACTTGTATTATTTTGGCAAGTACTACGTCCTAGAAAAGTTTCCCGATTAAAAACTGAACCACCCTGTATAATACATATATACAGGTGTATCAAATATGAGTAGAAAAAAATTGAGGGGTTATATAGGTCTCCTCTTTCTGAATAAAAAATTCTTATAACACAATGTCCTATTCTTTGTCCTTAAGATATGATACGATAAAGTTAAGGGTTCACAAGTTTGAGTACTACTGGTTAATGAATTCTACTAAGCAGGCTTTGCTTTGCAATTTGTAATTTGTTTCTAGTTTTGTAATTTTGTTGTTTTTAATACAATAAGTAAGTTTATTTATTAAAACCTAAATTTTTGTAAATTTTCACATTAAAGAGTGATAAAACAGAAGTGATAAATTTATTCGTATAAAGTAAACAACCTCCAAAAAAATATCTCATGAATGACTTTTATGTGTCAAATTAAAGCTATATTACATAAACAAAGCCTACTTAATATAATTCTTTATACAGCAATACTTAAACTTTCAAACCCTTAACTTTATCGTATCATATCTTAAAAATGGCAAAGAATGGGATATTGTGTTATAAGAATTTTTTTTCTATAACCCCCTCAATTTTGTTCTACTCATACCTGATACACCCTGTATATAAAAGTTGAGAAAATAGAGAAAATCGTGTCGGCTAAATCCCAACCAAGTCTTTAAAACACACGATGTCGAAAGACATAATACACAGAGTATAACCTGTTACGTTTTTCCTGTCCTGTTCGGTCCTCTTTCGCTAGGGGGATGCCTGACGATCGATCGAAAACGTAATGAGCATAAGAAGTGCGTGGTATACTCGCTTTTCATTGGTCGATGTGTTAGACCGCTTCAGGCGCTGGTGGGGTGCAGAGGCACGCTGAAACCGACTGAAACTCAGTGCGCGTTCAGTCTCGTTCGACCATAATCGGGGGTTGACACGGCGCACGTCGAAACTTTCTGGTCCATCACGTTTCACATCGTCCGTTCATTTTGGAAGGGAAACAATTTCGTTTCTTCAACGTTTAAGATCGTAAAGTTAAGTCCATATGGTGCAAGTAATCGAAGAAGTGAAGCCGTGCCGCTTCGAGTTCTGCACTGTTGTAAGTAGAGTTGCTTGAATGAAGAAAATGGGGTTGGTTGCCCGTGGGAAGTAGTTGGGAATCTGTGGGAATTCACCGATTCGACCGTCTAGAAATGCTAATGGGACCGGATAGTTTTGCAAGTGCAAGGGGCGTTGTAGTGATTTCTGTTTATCCTTGCGTTAAATTCACCGTTTTCCACCATTTTACTCGCTGGGAACTTGTTGAACTTCTCGCAGACTCGGAACCGCTTTGTTTCAACACTTTTATTTTTCAACTTTCACCATTATTATCATTAAGTTCTTTGTAACAAAATTTCTCGGTTTCATAGACATAGCAGATACATAGTATTGTTAAGGTACCATTATGGCATTGTTGGGGGCGATGATGGGCATTCATCATTCGGTCGTATCTCCCAGGGGGCGACCGTTGGTGTAAATTATACGTATTGTTCCTTGTCATTGGCCTAATTACATTAATCACCCTGGAAGTGTGACAGAATTAACTCGGTTTATCGAAGATATCTGATGCCATTAATTACCGGGGACGGCGTCGCGTCGCGGATATGATTAAACGCCTCTCAAATCTACCATGATGAATACTATCTCAGAACTATTAAGTTAGGTATCAAAATAAAAAAAAATAATAACGTTGCTAGCAATTTTCTGATATCATCACCACATTACCTGTCCGTTTTACCGTTGGGTTATATTCGATGGGATTTAATGAGACCTAAAGCTTGTATAAACGGTGCGCATAGTTTATGTACCATTACGCATTATTGGACGATAAAGGGTGGATCATTAGAAAACATTTAAACACTGTTATCCGGTTTTGCGATACCATCAATATTATTAAAGATAAATATTACTCATATCACGTTATTAAATAATAAATGATCCACAAACTAATAATATTAGCAGTTTTTGATTCATTACCAACAGTTTTTATCCAAAACATTTTTAGGAAAACTTTTTTTTTACTTTTCGCCCACCTTTTTATTGTTATATATAAAATTTAAAAAAATAATAAATAAAAAACTTTAGGAATTTGTTTTTTTAAAAACCATACGAGATTTTTTTTTAATCCGTTGTGCTTTTAACGTTAACCCGAAAGGGTAAAAATCTCAATTTTTTTTTGGTTCAACCCACCAATTATTATACAGGGTGCCCATTATGTATGGAATATAGTATACAGGGTGCCCATTATGTATGGAATATAGTATACAGGGTGCCCATTATGTATGGAATATAGTATACAGGGTGCCCATTATGTATGGAATATAGTATACAGGGTGCCCATTATGTATGGAATATAGTATACAGGGTGCCCATTATGTATGGAATATAGTATACAGGGTGCCCATTATGTATGGAATATAGTATACAGGGTGCCCATTATGTATGGAATATAGTATATATCTTTGTAGGTATCAACTTTATAGAAAAACATTTTATACAAAACTTGTTTAATATTTTATTTGCCATAATAAGACTGCAGTCAATTGTTTTTAATTCAGAAAACAAATGAGTAAAGAATAATACTTAAATTTTTTTAAATAGCAATGTATTCTTTCTTTAGGCTCATTTGATAGAGATTATTTTTCTCTTTACGATGGCGTAAAATTTTTGTATCCTTACATCAGAAAATTTTTGAGAAAAATGGAAAAATTGTTTATTAATAAAAATTAATCAATAACATTAATCTAGATATCCGAGATCGTCAAGTACCTCGAATTATTACTGTAAATTAAATTTACATACAAAATAAAACAAATAAACGAAAAATTAGTGTACATCTCCAATAATTCGAGGTACTTGACGACTCGGATATCTAGATTAATGTTATTAGTTAAATTTTCTTAATAAACAATTATTACATTTTTTTCAAAAATTTTCTGATATAAGGGTACTAAAATTTTACGTCATCGTAAAGAGAAAAAAAATCTCTATCAAATGAGCCTAACGAAAGGGTACATTGCCATTTAAAAAACTTCAAGTGTTATTCGTTGCTCATTTGTTTTCTGAAATAAAAACAATTGAATGCTGTCTTATTATGGCAAATAAAATATTAAACAACTTTTGTATAAAATGTTTTTTTATAAAGTTGATACCTACCAAGATATATACTATATTCCATACATAATGGGCACCCTGTATATCATTTTAATAAAAATAGTTTGGACTTTAATTTATGATAAAAATTATTTCTTAAATTGTATACATTATTCATCCATACTTGTTCTAATGATAAAATTTGTTGCTCCAAATTTAGGGTTGACTCTCAAAAACGAATAGAGATATTCAAATACGGTTTGGTTCGTCAAAAAATACGTATCCATTTCTATAATTAGCAAATATATCATTACAATATCTTAAGAATTCGAATTTTTACGATTTTTTAAAGATGATTGTCGAAAATTGTAGACTTGATAAAGTCAGTAAAATTCAATAATCATCTCAAAAATGAATAGAGATATTCAAATACTGTTTGGTTCATGAAAAAATATGTATCCTTTTCTATAGTTATCAAATATATCATTACGATATCTTAAGGGTTCGATTTTTTACGATTTTTTAAAAGTGATTGTCTAAAATTGTTGAATTTGAAGTGATCGAAATTTTTATCTTGATGAAATATTCTCTAAATATAGAAGAAGGCGTCTTTGAGACGTGTGTCTCAAAATGGTTGAAATCGATTCAATACTTTCAATGATTAAAGATTTAACGTAGTATCAATTTATTTCGAAAATAATTACTTAATACAAAAATTGATACCCGACTCATGATTAATTAAACAGATAACCCAACTGAATTGCCAGAAAGAACGCGACCAATTAACTTTAAAGCCTTCTTACGTGGGGAATCGTCGTCATACAAACACGGCGTACAAAATAAATTAAAAAAGCTCCATTAAGTTCTAACGTTTCCTTCACCATTAGTGTATTAAACGGCGACGAAGGTGGGACGCTCAAATATTTGATTTCAAAACGAAAATAGAGGTGTTATTAATAAAAATTACGTCTCGATTAGAACGAATGGTTTTAACGTCGCCCATTACGCTGATAGTTCTAGGAAAGTGCATTTAGACGCATCTGGGTCGGCCCTTAAACTTATGCGACGCCGTGAAATTCCGACAGATGCCATTACGACCGCGACCTTTCTATTACCACTGATCTATCAAAGCCAGCAAAAAAACAAAAAAAAAATTAGGTGAAAAAGACAAAGGGAAAAAGACAAGCTAAACAAAAGCACAGTCCCCTAAAGTACGAGTGCTTTTAATGGATCCCATAAAAGTAATCGACGCGCCTCTTTGTCGAACGTTCGAGGTGAATTTTCGATGGGGCAAGTATAACGGACCCTTAATGTAGCTCGACGGGACAATACGACAACGATGGCACAACTGTATGTGTATCTATGGAGATACGACTAAAACACGATGCGACGTGGTGGTGGTGGAGGACGCCGCGTCGGCGTCGCGACGTTAATAGAAGCAGACCTTTAATTTCCTGCGCCTGTCGGTTATCGCCCCTGCAACGTCGCCGTAATTAAATAATAATTGGAACCGGACAATCGGCACCATTGAGGACACTTGTTAGGACGCATTTTATCCTTTGTAATGGCATGATCGACCACAACGTTTCAATCTTGTTTTGTTTCGTATCGGTAATGAATAATGATACAGGTATCTGCAGGAAACTAATAATTTTTTAATTAATTCACTCCTATTGCGTTATTTTATGACATAAAAGTGTTTCAAAGATACTAGAAAGCAGAAAATGTTGATTGGTGTATGTCAAAATGGCTCAAATCAATTTATAATAACCTCATAATACTTGGGAAAAACGAAAAAAAGTTGAAAAAATAAAAAATTTCGATTTTGACACATTTGGTGTGTGTCAAAATGGTTCTAAACAATTAAAAGTGCATCGAGGATACTTAATGAGGACTAAATAATTAACAAAAAATGATTTTGAATGTATTTCAAAAGTACCAGAACACTGCAAATGTTGATTTATGTGTGTCAAAATGAAATCAATAAAAATATATCTAAAATACTTAATAAGAATGAAATATATATAAAAAAATAATTTTGATAATTTTTCAAACTGTTTCAAACATAGCAGAAAACAGAAAATGTTAATTAGAGTATTTTAAAATGGTTTAAATCGATTAAAAAGATTCCTGGGGTAGTTATTGAGGATGGCAAATAAGTAAAATCTGATTTTAAAGTCTTTTGGAATTGTTTCAAAAATGCTAGGAAATAGAAAATGTTAATTGGAGTGTGTCAAAATGGTTCAAATTAATTGTTATTAATCGATTTGACAGACACCAATCAACATTATTTTCATACTCCAAAATTTTTTGAATTTTCTGGAAATTAATTTTCCAACTTCTTTCTTTTTTGCCAAGTATTCTAAGCTTTTTATAAAGTAATTTGAGCCATTTTGATACACACCAATCAAGTTTTTCTGTTTCGTGGTGTCATAAAAAAGTCAATTTTTGTATTAAGTAATTATTTTTGAAATAAATTGGTACTACTAACTGATTAAAACTATAATTACTGAAAGTTGATTGCAATTAATAGAACGATTGGTGACATTTATCGAACGTTGCGTCCATACAAACGTTTCAAACGCAATTTCCATAGAGCGACTTCGCGGCCAGAAAATTAAAGCAATTTGCCGTTCAGATTTAATTGGACCGCAGCTAAACGCGGTACGCGACGGTCAATAATAGAAACCCTCTCTCTATTAGTACAACCGCGGAGGATGTTAAAAGCTCGCAGAATTGAATTTTTCTTTTTTGCTTTCTTGCAGATGAACCGCCCTATCCAAGTGAAGCCAGCGGACAGTGAGAATCGTGGAGGTAAGTGGAAACATTTTCCCGGAACGTCGGCGAACGGTGTTTTTCTTTGCGAAACTCTATATACGAACGGGACCAACCGATTTTGAGCGACCCGCGAGTGCGAACGTCGAGTTTCTGCTTTTTTAATGGTTCTTTCAACGTTTCATCATCACCGAGAAATTACTAAATTTCAAACGGAACGTTATCTCTCTAAATTGTACGTGCACGTATCGGGGGCGAATGTTATATTATGGAAGTTTAAACGAATAGACAGGGTAAATGCTTGGTTTGATTGAGAATGAATGAGAGTGTGGTTGAAAAAATAAGGTAATAGGATGAAAAAAAAAGTATTTTGCGAATTAAGAGAGTACTCAATGATCACTCATTTATCTCAGTGATACAAAACCAGTAGACTACGTACTTATTGCAAAAGGCTAGATACTACTTGTAAAATACTAACTACTACTTCCAGATCACTTGATACTACTTGCAAAACACTAACTCTAAATATGCTGCTTCCAAAGGGGTAGATGTTATTCAAAATCTAGATACTGCTTGTAGAAGACCAGGTACTGCTTCCAAAAGACTAAATACTACTCGTAACAGATTAGCTACTACTTCCAGAAGGGTTGATACTGCTTGCAAAATACAAAATACTGCTTGAAAAAGACTAGGTACTACTCCCAGAAGAGTAGATGCTGTTGAAAAACTAGATACAGTTTGTAGAAGGCAAGATACTACTAGTAAAAACGTAACTACTACTTCCAGAAGACTTGATACTGTTAGCCAAATACTAAATATTGCTTGCAAAAAACTAAGTGCCGCTTCCAGATGATTAAACTAGATGTTGCTTGCAGAAGACTACATACTACTTCGAAAAGACTACACACCGCTAATGGAGGACTAGATGCTGCTTGAAGTTTCTCCTTTGCACTAGTTGACTCCCAAGTGAAAATCTACCACAAAACATCGAAATTGATGTTTTTTATTAATCGAATAACGATCATAACTCAAGAACAAAAGATGATGGAAAAAATATTTTGTGTATAAAGTGTTCGTAATAAACCAGAATACTATACTCTAGATACGAAGTGGAACACCGAAAAAATCAAAGTTAATAGATTTCAATGAATGTTGCGTAATGAACCAAAAATATATAATCCATAAACAGATTCATCTTATTTTTAACCATTTTTAAGTTAAAAGCTGCTAAGTTTACTATATACCATTTTTTAATGAGTTATAGAATGGATCCATTGTTATTCAAAAGTACTTCAAACGTGTGTAGACTTGTGGGGTTATACAATGGTACTCGGAAAACAATTAATTTTCGTGGAAACGGCATGCGTGGAACTAAGCCGTACATAATCAACTTAGCCCGTTGTTCAAGCTGTCAGAGCGTCGCGACGCCGCGCCGTACCGTTATAGGTGTTTTGTACACCACGCCGGAGTGTTAATTAATAATCCGCATAACCTTGACAATTGACAATGGGGCGTCGTCGTTTCGAACTCGTCATACCACGGTTTAGAAAGTTAAATGAATTTAAACGGAGATAAGGCGTCGCGACGGTCATCAATCGCGTCCTTTCGAGGATTGCTCACAATTTAACCACGAAGAAATTAAATGGACTGGGATATCTGACCTTAACTAACAATAAGCCGAAAGATAAATTAAGTAAAATGTAGCGCCATCTATTGAAAACTATTAAAATTAATGTTGTTTTGTCATAATGATTTGATTTGAAACATTTTTTGATCCTATTATCTTTAATGAGTGTGATTGAGCCGAATTTGAGTATATGTTAGGTGAAAAGGTTGAAAAGACGGGATTTTGTTAAGCCTTAACATCGATATAAGGCTGTGTTCTGATGTCCAGGCTAGAAGCGGGAAGCGGACCTAATCAGCCGGCCTGGACTCTGTCTTATTGCAGAGCGATGGCCAGCAGAGTCCCGCAGGAGGTGCTGCGTGTAGCGCGACTGTAGAGGGCACCGCCTGCGCCTGGTCACGTAAGACCGCCCTGTCCTTGTTGTGCCGAAATGTGACCGTACAGTGTCGTGCGTATTAGACGTGTTTGTAGTGCGTTGTTCCGTGCAGGACATGGTCAGCTCGCTCGTTCGATGTATGTCTAGACGTTGTGTGTAATTCTCTTAATTATTTTTTTTTCTTGGGCAATCCTCGGACAACCAGGCAAACACCGACAGCTTAGGGCACCCCACCAACAACGACATACTGTCTCAATGTATCTACTTAATATTCTTTCATCTATTCAAGGATGCATTCACCGCATCCTTCAATGGAAATTTAGCAGAGCATGGTCATTTTCCGCAATGATGGTCACCGAAATAAGAAACCAAATCAATTTGATCTTAATCAACTTAATCAAAACATCTTATTCCCATGTCCATTATTGTTACATTGTATCTAATTTAGTTACTTAAACACCATCTGCAAATTTCCAAATCTCAAAGTTAAAAAGTTTATATTATTGATTTTTTGCAGATTGTGTAGCGAAATAGTTTTTAGTTAAATGTGGCTTCTGTCGAACTCTGCTACTGGTAGCGTGTGCTCACTCGTGTTAACATGTTAGTAGATGTGCGCACTTTGCCTGGTCCTCCGAGGTGAGTCCGTTACAATCCCACGCTTGTCCCGGAGAGACCCTAATCCCCCCATAATGCCCACACCGATCGGACGACCCCCCGGGGAATGGGGTCCATCGAAGTAAATAGAAAAAGGGTTATCTCTTCTCTTCATCTCCGTCTTAATCCCTCCCCTTTTTTATTTTATTTAATTAAAAAAAAACTGAATCGTTTTGTTAAAATCTTTCATAACCACCCCTTTGGTTCTTTGGTTTACTGTCGTTTTTTATTATTACTATTTATTGAGTGGATTGTGCACCAAATCAGCGTTTATAGAGTTGTTGTATTAAATGTTACTGGCCGAACAATAAGAACGCAACAAGTTAGAACGCGACTAATTGTACGTTTTGTTTTCGTTCCATCCAGATAGAAAACTGTTCGTTGGTATGCTGAGCAAGCAACAAACTGAAGAGGATGTTAGACAGCTTTTTGCTCCATTCGGAACAATAGAGGAGTGCACGATTCTTCGAGGACCCGATGGTGCCAGCAAAGGTAAATGTAACACCAACATTGTCTTAATTTAAATTTGATTTAATTCATTTCTTTTCGAATTTATCTCGATACTTAAGCATCTGAGAGTAAAAATGTAAAAGAGCAATTTTGTTAAGAATAAAATTATCTACAACTTTTATTACTAAAACTTTTTTTCTAAAACATTTAAATTCCGTGCAATATCAACAACATGTTGTATAAATCTACGATTTCATCTAATCTTCACTTTTTTGGATTTTGAAATCTCGAAATTACTAAATTGAGGTTTTTGGATAAAACAACATAATAACTGGAAAACGAAAAGTGTTGTCGATGAAAATTATTTGTAATGATCCAATAAAACGTTATACGCAAGCGATTAACCAACTATGACTATTATCAATCTAAGGCCCACTTTTACCACCTCCTGATAAATTTATCCGATAGATAAATCCAGTTCTTAGCCAATGAGAGCGCTTAAAATAGCCGTAACCATGGCAACTATCCTCTAGATAGTTTATCAGGAGGATGGTAAAAGTGGGCCGGCCCACTTTTACCACCTCTTGATAAATTTATCCGATAGATAAATCCAGCTCTTAGCCAATGAGAGTGCTTAAAACCGCCGTAACCATGGCAACTATCCTCTAGATAGTTTATGAGGAGGATGGTAAAAGTGGGCATAAGTAAGTTAAAATCCCAAACATTCCCTAGAATGCTCCGATTCTCTAATGTTACCATTAACTAGTGAAACATCGAATTTCATCAAATTTTCGTATATTTCTCGATATATTATTGAAAATGAAATTTGCGAACAGTTTTTTTGTAATATACTCCGTTTCCCGAGTGTTACCATTAAGCTAAGGGTTCTTTTATGTTAATCAAAATATCTAATCGAGGGCTAGAAAAACTGGGGCCCAACTTCGTATAGGCCTTAATCCAATAACTATAATTCCCGTTTTAAATTCGTTTTTGAGCACTTTAAAAATCAATTTACCCCGAGCAACTTTAATACGAAATTCGCCTAACGAATATATAATTGCGGTGCTCGGGTAAAGGGATTCAGTAACTTTTTAAGCGCCGGATTTAATTTCGAAACTATTAAACGCGCGCCCGCACTCATCCGCGATTTTTCATCGGGGCGAATCTTTAGTCGCGCGCGCCATGAATATTTAAGACGTCGCAAACGGGCTTATTATGTATGCGAGGACCGGGAAATATAGAAAAAGGGAAAAAATCTAATTAAACTTTCATCAAACTTTCGTTTTGTGCCCGCGACGCCAAGCCGTCCGGTCTTATTAAATTCTTTGAGGTGCTCTTCATATTCTCGCTTATTTTATTGTCTTTGATTATGTGCCCGGATCACTTTTAAATTAAGATCCCTTTTTTGTTTTTTGTTTTGTTTTACTCAAAAGAACCGAGTAATCTCTCTAATTCACTTTAGAACTAGCTACAAATTGTTCCGAGTTAATTATTTCGTTGTGATTTCATCTTCAAACACCGGAAACTATGTGTAACCGTCACGCATAAGTTAAAACGTGCAAAGAGGTTAGACAAATATTTGAGTGTGCAAATACGAGTTGGTTGGGTGTTCATAGGTAGAAGGGCTAACTGAGAGAGATGAGGATAGGGCGTGTAAACGCGTGAACGCCGAGTTAGTTGTGAGCATATTTAGCTGCCGGGGGCGCCCTAATTTGCATTTTGAAATGTGCTAACAACTTCGGGGCTCTTCTACACCTCCTCAACGGTCTAATTACGCGGCACGAAGCCGGATGCGGCCCGTTTGTCCCTCGAACGGCAAAAAACTTGCCCGGTTAATTAAAAGTTTATATTAAGACCATAAAAACCCAGCTCCGAAAGATCCAGTGCTCCAACAATCAACCAAAAAAAACACAAAAAAGAGGATGTTATTGAAAGAGAAGCAGCAGCCCTTGACGGATTTTCTATCTCGAATTTTGAGTCGGCAAACCACGATTCGTTTTATTATGTAGGGCATAATGGGTCGACGTGCGCTGATTTAGGGTGCCATTTGTAAAGCGGACCTGTAATGGGGGTAGTTATTGTTAAAAACAGCCAAAATAAACCCTTACGATCGGCGTAAATCTCTGCCAGCGACGTTTGATGGCTAAAACTCGCGAAAACTCGCAATTATACTGTCGATCCGTGTCTATCAGTATTTATACGACCAACGGATTGTGAGATCGTAAATTTTTTTGGTCTACTCCCTAAAACGTATGCTGCGGGATGCAAATTAAATGAAGGGTACTTTGGTTCGGATGTTTTTCAATTTTTGCACACTTAGTAAACGCTCAACTTTTTCGCATTTTTATTATTGTTGAAGTCAAAACTGAAAAAATAAAGATAATGGAGGAATAAATTGTTAGATATGAGCCATAATGATATGATTCATAACCAGATTGAGGTTAAACTAAAGGTGACGCAAAAACCATAAGAACATAATCCATAACCAGATCTTCTTCAGTTATAACTATATTATAGTTAGATGGTGGAAATGGTCAAAATACCGAACTTTATAACTGACAAACTAAAAGTAACGTAGGAAGATCCTTTTGATATAAAATGAATCAAAAATATAGAATCCATTATCAGATACAACATAGTTATGATCATTTTTAAATGAGATATTATAAACCCCCAACATATTAAAATTGATGATTTTCATCAGTACAATAATTAATCATAACTTAAATAAAATAAAAATAAATTGTTCATAATGCACTAAAGAACATAATCAATAACCATTTCCGTTTTAGCTGCCATCATTTTCTAGATACAATCATCTATATAGATGATTTGGGTTACTAAAGTAATATTTATGATCATAACTCAAATACTAAAATCGATGTTAGAAAGCTTTTTGTACATAAATTGTTCTCTCAATATTTATAGACACTCATAGATTGACAACATTTGCAATACGGTAAAAAATTGAAATTTGAAAGTGAAAAAGCTTAAAATTTAAAACTTCATTATGTATGTACCGATTTCTGTATGAAAGGAAGAGATTTTTCGTTCGTCGAGCGATAAAACCGAAGTACAGAGCACCAGCTGGCGGTTGGATCGTTGTAGCAATTAATTGCCGATTCATGTACCCGCTCCGACCTCGGTTCAAGAATTAATTTGCATAGCCCGGGCCGACCATTAGCATATTTTTAATCAAGGCGGTTACGCCGGATTCTTTAAGGCCAATTCCGAGACGGGATTTGAACGATAAGTGAAAATTACGATTTCACCTCAAACCACCTTTTCACCAGATCTTTATTCTTTATTGAAGATACAGTGTGTTAATTAATTATCGTACCCTACGTTATCATCGCAAGTATGCAACCAATATCACAGTAATGATGGTTGCATACTGATGACGTCGGGTACGATAATTAATTAATTAACACACTGTATATCTTTTCGTTTTGGTTTCAGGTTGTGCTTTCGTAAAGTTCAGTTCGCATCAAGAGGCGCAAGCGGCCATCAACAGTCTTCATGGTAGTCAGACTATGCCGGTGAGTACCTACCTAAAGGTGTCTTTTTTTAGGGAGTTTGCGATTTTGACGCGTGGACAGTTCAATTAATCGCCGGTCGCTACTCCATTAAGCGACAAAGCGTGGTCCGTAATTACAACGACAACTTCCATTGTCTGCGGCTGGCGCGGCGACGCCGCTTCGAACCCCGAAAATGGGCAAAAAACGAACGATAAACTTGTCACCGGTATTGTTTACGCGCGACGTGAATAGATGGCGCCGCGACTCGGCCGGTAATTGTCGTTTTCACGCTCAATTAATTTCCCCGGAAAAAATTACTGGGATTCCATTTGAATATAGACTAGTAATGTTTTTTTTATCCTCAAACTGTCCTTGTTATCTCTTGGAGACGATACTGTTGGTCTCTGTAGCAGAAAGCACAAATTATTCTGGGGTACAACGCGGGACAATTACTCAAACTCGGGGGGTAGGATTCCATTTCTGTGTGGAATTGCATCCGGGGACCAGAGGTTGCCTCCCTTTCCCTTCGCCGTGTCGCGTCGGGAAGGAAGAGTGCGAAGGAAGCGGAAATTGTGTAGGGTCGGAACTCTATTCATCTGTCGCCAAATGGAACGTAATTATGTTATCATTCTCCGCTCGGCACTCGAAATAAAATCAAATTTTACGCCACCCGCGCGCGCCGAGGTGAGAAGCCGTATTGCTTTTTTCATCCAGACCAAAGTGACAGTTTGATAAAGTGCCGGGCCGTATTTCACGGTGGTACCCAGTGAAAGTTAGGAGTTATCTGGAAGTTTGGAGGCGCGTTTGTTTGCGTATCTTGACAAACTAACTTTAACCACCGTATACACCGCGTAATAAATACAATTATGAAGTTCCGTTATAAATAATGCACTTTATCTGAGCCAAACTTTTGTGGCCGCCTATAATTCACCAAATTTTGGTAATAAACTATTAAATTCGCGCAAAATTTCTTGTAGCCCAGCAAGAAAAAAAGCCGCTCCCCTCCCAACTCCCCCATTTAAAGTTTAACACTCCGAGAGAGCTCGCCAAATTGCTTTCATTTATGTAAACAACTTCGGGCGCACCGTATTACGCCCGTATTATAATGAGGAACCAACTTTTCGCCAAGTTTTCAATGCCTGAATGATTGAGACTTCGCAGCAAAACCCCTCTCAATCTAGAATACACTCCATGGAAAAAACTGAATTTTACAAAGTGTCTCAACGGTATACTCCATTACATCATCGAAAATACATCCATTTGTTCTTTTATACGGATTTTGGACAATCAATTATAAACACTAAATGCCTAAAAAATGCCAAAAGGAGACTGAAAAGAAAAAATGACAATGTCAAAATGAGATAGATAATGAAGAAATGAAATTGATTACAATCTGAACGGAGAATGGAATGTTAAGAAGGATCTAACCTCCTTCTTTCTTCAATAGAGAGGAAGAATACTGGAAAGAGGTTGGTGCTAGGAAAAAGACTGTGTAACTAAGAAGGATATTAAGAAACTGGAAATAGTAGAAAGAACCAAGACAGAGACAGGAAATAGTAGAAAGAACCAAGACAGATGCAGGAAATAGTGTATACAGAGTTTGGAAAGAAAAGGCTCGATAGAAACTCAGATACCGAAAAAAGGGAACATGCTGATAATAACAAAAAGAGACTGAATAGAATCTGGTTGGAAGAAGTTATGGAAAATAAAGGCTTAGCAAAAAATGAGGAAATCGGTAATAGATGACATTGGCTGAAGATTGGAGACAGGAATGATTAAAATAAGATTGATGGCAGAAGAAAGAGACTGAACAGAGACTAGAAAGACTAGAACGAGATCGCTAGCAGAATAAAGATGGCTGAAGAGTCAAGAAGGCCATTAATAAAAGATAAAAGAGGCTCAACAAAGACTGGAAATAGCAGAAAGAGCCAAGACAGAGAAGGAAACAAGAATGAAACTAGTTATGGAAGAAAAAGGCCTAACAGTGACTATTACTTCGCCTGATTATGGTGGAAATGCATAGTTCTGTATTATTAAGCAGGTTAATTAATTAATAATTAAGGTTGATGTGAGACAAAAATATACCCTTGCCGTTTATTTTTCTTCCCTTCATGCAAGTATTAGTCATTGATGGAACCCCCCACTTTCCAGAGATAACCTTAAAAAGTAGTTCATCCATAATTATATTAAATAAGAAATGCAGAGAGAGTCCTCTTACTCGACTATCTATAAATATGAATATTTTTATGTAAAATCTAGTCCCCGAAAAAAAATCAAAACATCTAGGCAAAAAATAAAATCAGAAAAAGGGTGATATCAAAATGTAAAGGAACCCCCCCTCCTAATTTTTTTTGTCGACTTTTCGTGCTTTGTAGCGTTCCCGTTTTGCGTCCCAGGGCACAGTCGCGCGAAATTACTTTAAAATATGTGTCGCGAGGCAACGTCACCGTGAAAACTCGAAAACAGCTCGTCAGGTCCCCCTTATTATTTTTGCTTCCGTCCGTTGAGAGTCTCGCGGGACGAAAGTTGTCAGCTCGTCTGTCATCCCGGGTTCTCCTGCATCATATTTTCGTCCACCGATATCGACGCCACATAAAATTCCTTATAAAGTGGACAGATTTCATCAAAATCGTACGAAATCCGGAAAGGTACAGCAGTATAGCAATGCATAACTCAATCTGGAACGTGCTTATTGCGTGATATCCAAGCCCGAGACTCCTCGAGCCTTTAATGCATTTAAAAGCGAAATTATGTCAGTTAACAGAAACAAGGGACCCTGTTAACTGGGTCTAAAAGCTCTCCCCTCTGAGCCAGTCAACCCGAACTTTCTAAATGGCTTAAGCGACGCGACCAGTCCGGGGTCGATTATGCAAAATTCGGAGACCCCCTCGTACTCCGCCCACCAAATTCCGAATTACCCCCAAATAAAACACCATGCAATATTAATGAATGGCAGGGGCGGTCTCTGCGGTGCCCCCGATGTTATTCTATGTAAATGATCCCGGTCTGCAGGTTGCAAATGAGCCCGCGGCCGAACTGCGCCCGCGGCCGATGTGTACTCAGTCATTAAGGGCACTTGAGCGTTTTGTTTGCCCTCGACCCTTCTGCCGCTCGAAAAGAGAGGCTTTTCGTGTCGCCTACCTCTTCGCTGCTACGTCGCCCAAGACCAAGAAGGTAGCTTCTTAACCTCAAAAGTAACAATCGATTCGATTTTTTGTTCTGACAAAAAAATTTCAATCGGAGTGCCGATAAATCTATTAAATCTCTTTTTGGGCAACGCGTTCCGGAAAACGGCGCGCTTTGATCCGGCGAACTAACGAACTGTAATCCTGCAATAATGAACGGCGAGTCCAGCCCTGCACGCGCCGATGGACGCTTCGGTTTTCGACCGCCCGAGGATACGGCGCGACAGTCGAGGAACGTCACCCCGACACCGACATCATCCCAACAACCCCCTCGCCGCCGTCTGGACGCGGCCCCAATTACGTTCACGAAGGATAATTACTATTTGTAATAGCCCTGTCAACGCAAACGGGGTTCGGTGATGCGTAGAATTTAGTGGTTGCACGTTGATATGATTCACCGCAAACCACGACAGCAACGTTCTCTAACCAAAGGAGATCTATGCGAAGTTAACCCCCCAATTTTTTTACACCCCATTCAAATATTTTTAACTGTCAACCGATTTTGGAGCTTCATCTTTGGCCAATACAAATTTAATGTGGCCTCAACACTCTATAACTTTGCCTGATTTTGGTGCAAACGTATGATTTTGTCTTATTACGTAAAAATTTCTTACAGCCGAGACTTTACAAAGTGATGACAGGTCTTGGGTTGATGTGGTATTAATTGTAGGGCCTCGGCCGCAAGCGACCTTGGCTAAACTTGATGTAAACATTCCATCGCTTCGCCTGATTATGGAGTAAACCAACAATCATAAGTGGATTTAGGACCTAAGTTTTCTAGACAAAAATTGCCGTCAACAGATTTCTGCAGTGTTTCGAGGTGTATTGAAATTTGCATCCATTCTTCTTTTCCAAAGGGCCGCTTACCTAAAAAGGCTAAATAAGCTTGATCTAAAGCGCGTTGCCTTGTTGTTTCAAAAAAATGAAGACTTCCACGCGTAACTTGAATAAACGCTTTAAAACATGTCCTCTTTATAACCAGCGCACTTCTGTATAGTAGAGTAGTGTTCAAGCTCATTTCTGCACAAAGTTTCTTAAAAAGGCAATGGTAAGTAGTGTAAGAAGAATTGGACATTAGGTGACGAGACGATGTTAGCATGTGCAAAGGACGATGTACAAGTATGTGCAGAGGTATGTTAATGTTTGTGATAGACAAAATTTAGGAATATTCACTCATCTTTAAAAAATCATAATAAATACGAGTTTTCATAAATCGTTATGAAATTATCAGCATTTTTGAAACAAATTATAAGTCTTGCAATGAAAGAAAGGGTTTTTCAAACAAAAATTTAGTGTTCTTTCATGCTTTCATGCAATTCTTTTATGCATCGCTTACACAATTACATTTACTCATTTTAAAAAAATTATAATAATATGATTAAATAAAAAAACATATGCATCCCATTTAAAATAACAGTATTGGTTGCCATAGCAACGAAACAAAAAACAATACAAACAAGCTAATATCGCCAAAAAATGCGCTATGATTATAAAGAAACTTGTGTTTGAAATATTTTTCTTTAAAACCACAAATGACGAAGTTGTTGCCTATATTACAGACATTTGACACACCCTGTATATACAGGGTGTTAGATAAAAAACGCCCCAATCTGTAACTCTGTCATTTACATTCTGATTTTCATAAGCGAGGCATCAAACGACATGGTTTGATGAATACTATGATTCATGCTACAAATAAATTTATCCAAGGCCATCTTCAGTTCTAAGCAATTATTAGCTTTTGTTTTTCAAATTGCTGGGTATGTTTTTCTTTACGTTATTGGATAGAGATTTTTTTCTGAACCCATTGCTGTACAATACATTAACATTAATTACAATTTTAGCAAAGAAAAACAATTAAAACATTTTCCATTTTCTACATTTTCTGTAATACTGTAGTGTGCTATGGATATATATATGTATATATATATATCAGAATATAATATATATAATTCCTGGTGTCTTAGGTTGTCTTAACTATTCTACAAACATTTACACTGCCTGAAGCAGTTATATATCAACATATATCGTAATTATGAAGACAAATTGAGATTTTGGAAAAGTGTTAATTGTGTGTTTGATAATAATTGAAAGAAGTTGAAATGTAAGACAAGCTGATTGGATATAATTCAAGGAAACCAGTTGAAAATTACAACCAAAATTAAGAGTACTTCTGTGAAGGGACAGCAGAGTTTCTAGTGGCGGCACAATGCTGCCTCGGGCTGGAATTAAAACCGAGCAGATCCCGGTTGAAATAATTTGAATACAGACGCGGCAGCCTTTGTTTTCAATACAACGGGGGCTTACAGGTTGCCCTCAAGTTTTTAAAGGGAACAAAGTAGATATAAAACTTATTTTTAATTCAAGCACAATGCGGGCAAGTTTTCCGCCCGGGGGTCCTTGTGTTAACGAGAGTCAGGGGAACAATACGCCGTTGGGGTAAACAGCGTCGAAAGGGGGAGGCCTACGCCGAGATGGGAGGACGGATCGTGTATCCATAATTTACTTTCGTAATTAACTTTCTTATTAAAAAGTTTTTTTCGCAGTCTAATGAGGTCGCGAAAACGAACCGGAAGCGTATCGATCCAAAACGATTTTTCCACCTAAAATGTGAGCGCCAAACATCGGAGATTTAGGCGGTTTACATTGGGGATTTTGCCCCCGATTTATTTATTCAACCGCCACGCGCTCACGGATTATGCCCGAATTAAATGCCCGGCCCCCCAGTTCCAACAGGCGACCAACCCCCAACGTTTCGACCCCACCTTTTAAGTTAGGAACCAAAAACTTGCGCTATCGCACCATCTAAATCGGACGAACCTAAACTCGAGAAGGCGGGACAATCTCTTCAATTTCGATCACGTAGAACGTTACCAAAAATCCCTTTCTACATTACTTCAAAAAAAAAAAAAGAAAACATTAGATTAAACTAAAAAGCTCATGACTTTTTTCAATTCGAGCTTGAATGGATGATGGGGATCGATTCTTTCTTGTAAATTTCCTCTCGACAAAGGGTTGTGCCACCAATTTCGGCTGAATAAGGGTTGGGGGTAAAGAGATCTTGTAATTAATTCCGGGACGGGTCGCTAACGAAAGGCCTCGGGCAAATAAATACCTTTTAAGCGACAGAGGCGCCTCCGCGCAAAAATAAGAGAGTACGGCCTTCGCTTGTAATTAGAAGCGCCCGGGGGTACCCCTGTTTCGTGCTCGAAAATAATTAGTGGATATTAAAGGCGTTGCTTGGCGAACTCTACGATTAACACCGTGGTCACGGTGAAGTTTAAAAAAAGTTATGGCATTGTGACGATGAATCTTTTGTTAAAAACCTTTAAAGGACTAATAAGGTTGTTGGTTGAGCAAGGGATTCGGAACGGTTTAGAAAAAAAGTTTTGGTATAAAAGTTGTAGCAACTTTTATTCTTAACAATATTGCTCTCTTGTACTTTTGCTCTCAGACGCGAAAAATACGAAGAAGTAAAAATTAGATGAAAAACTTAGAAATAAGACAATGTTCAAAACACAATATGTCAAAAGCTAAATCTTTTTTTGAAATTCCATTTGTTACATTGGACAGCTTATAATTTATATTACAAATGCTGATAGTTTCATAATGATTTATGAAAGCTCCAATTTATTATGATTTTTTGAACATGAGTGAATGTGATTGTGTAAACCAAAAAATGAGAATATGTCTAAAACTTAATATCTCAAAAACTAAACGCACATTGTTCCAGGATCGTATCTAACATCTCAATATCGGAATCTATATGAAGTTTGGCCAAAAAATTCTTCCAGAAGACAAACTAAAAGTGAAGTAAAAGACGTTCTACTCGATATCTAACATAATTCAGAGTCTCTAGGGAGATGGTGCATTTTCAATATTACTTTTAAGAAAAGTTGGAACTTTACGTTGTGGTAATGTGCTTCATAAATATGTTGTGTTCCCAAGAGCAACAAATTTTCATTGTTATAGATAGTTAACAATATATAAACGAATTTAGTTAGAAACGTTCAAATATCCACTTTTTAAGTTTCCACTTCCATCAATTTAAATTGGTAGAGATAGAAATTCATAGTAATATCTCAATTCGTTTTTGAGATATGATATTTCTAAATTTGGTCTTTTCGCCAGAAACCTAATATGTAGTATTATTACTCATTACAGGTATGCAACCAATATCACAGTATTGCAATACCAATATTGTGATATTGGTTGCATACTTGCAATGATGATGTCGGGTAGGATAATTAATTAATACACTGTACATGTTGTATTGAAAACCTCATTGTTGCCAAATTACTAGAAATTAAAAATTTATCTTTGGCACATTAAAACATCATGAAATTCTCTTGGAAATGCTTGTTACTTCATGATGATGTGTCAATTAGTTCTTGAAATATATTTTTAAATGTGCTCTTTTCCACATAACCATAATATGTAGTAGTATTCCTCTTGTATCGTAATTTTAATGTTCTCCATGTAATTTTCTGAATTTGAGCATAACATAAGTATTCAAAAGGGGAGAGATGAGAAAAAGTCTAAAACAAAACCTTCCTGTAATACATCATTCCGTTTAAATTTTTGATCTTCCACTTGACGTACGACAAAAGTAATTCACGCGAAAGAAAATTGAATAAGCCGACCGTTAGCCCGTTCAAGAATAAGTGACCCCGGTGCCTCGCGCTATTAAACATGCATGAACCGTTTAAACGGGCTCGTACCGAACTCGGCATAAATTATATAAGCCGTAACACCGTAAGGTTAGGAAATTTAGAAGCGACACTTTTCCCTTATGTTCCCCAAGTACGTTTCTTGGTGGAAAACTTGTCCGGACGCACACGTTGCATGTTCAAATTACACAACTCTTAAACACACCCCGATCGTAAACACCGCGAAGAACTTGTACGCCTAAAGTAACGACCTTTATTTCTCACGAAGTAGGTAGCAAGAATGAAACGATTAATATGCGAGACAAACGTGGCTCATCGCGCTTCTCTGAAGGCACTATTTGTCCCGGGTAATTGCCGTTACATCTCACCGAGCTTTTACTCGTTTCAGGGCGCTTCCTCTAGTCTCGTGGTGAAGTTTGCTGATACGGAAAAGGAACGACAGCTCAGGCGCATGCAGCAAATGGCAGGCAACATGAGTCTACTGAACCCGTTCGTCTTCAATCAATTCGGGGCATACGGCGCTTACGCACAGGTAATTATTCACACAAGAAAACCATAGAAAAAACAAAAAGATCCTAATATTTAATCCAAACATTAATATGAATACGTCAGAACGTATGATAAAGTATCCAAAGGGGGTGGGAATATGGAAGCGGGTTTTAAAAGACCTTTAATAAAAGTAAATTATGCCTGTCAAGGAGGGAATGAGAACGTTATATTTCAACGGCTATTGCGCTGGTGAGTGATGGGGTCCAAAATTGCAATTTTGGCCTAAAAGTGCTCCAGGGACTTGTTGACTATTTGTAGAGAAAAAAAGAGGGTTTTAATTGAACAAAAAACAAATTAAATAAAAATCGTCTAGGTTATTGAGTTAAGAAAATATTTTTTACGATTTTAGATCTTAGCAATTGAGGAACACCAACAAAGTGTAAGTCTAGACTAGTCCACTAGAGTGTACACGTCCATCTAAGTGTCAAAACAGCTTAATCACCCATTTCAATCACCGCATCAATTTTTTGGGCAACATTTCTAAATTGAGTTTTGGTCCTTTTCCAGCAGCAGGCGGCTCTTATGGCGGCCGCGACGGCGCAAGGCACTTACATCAACCCCATGGCCGCTTTGGCCACACAATTACCTCATGCCACACTCAACGGTATGGCCAACTCCGTAGTTCCACCTACCTCAGGTAAGATATGAAACAAAAACAAGTAGAGTTTACAAATCGTGTTTCTTCCATTAATTTTGTGGATGAGAAATGATTTGTGGTGTGTGTTAGAAAAGTTCTTGTCTCATTGGTGTTCCCTTCATTGGAAAGATTTTGATGCAGGGGCGGGCACTGGGCAGCCAGTGAACGGTGCCATCCCAAGCTTGCCTTCGCCGACTATGCCCACGTTCAACATGGCGGCCCAAACGCCCAACGGGCAACCCGGAGGCGGCGAGGCCGTTTATACGAATGGAATCCATCAAACGTATCCAGCCCGTAAGTACCAAAAACGATCTTATTTCTGAATTTGTTGTAGGATGTATTAATTTGTATTCATAGCAAAGTAGTGTTAAATGTTAATTAGAGATGATATAATCTAGTATTGTTGGGGAAAAGGAACTATATGATCATGTGCCTAAAAAGTAATAGTTGCAAATGCTTGTTATAACTGTTCCTCTGTTCCAAGTGATATAAGAAAAAATGATTTGTTAATAAAATTAATTATAACGTAGGTACTAAAACTGATAATTGCAAAAAATATTCCTAATGCATCAATAAATCATAATCCATAATTACTTCATGTTTACGTTTTGACCAGTTTCTAGTGATATAGTATAAATCACAAAACGTAAAAGATTATAGAGCTAGTATTTAGTAACTATTACTTTTTAGATTTACAATTAGCAAATGTTCCAAGTAACAACATACAAAGACTTGTTCCAAAGTAACAGGTTAATTTGAATTAATCAATTTGAATCATAGCCTATCAAGTGTGTCTCTGAATAACAGTAGCTTAAATTTAGATGCCCTGCATCTGTCCATTCCAGCGCAAGGTCTACCCAACGGAGAGGCAGCTTTACAGCACGCAGCAGCGTACCCAGGGATGCAACCTTTCCCAGGAGTCGGTAAGTACTCGTTTTTGTGCCAAAATGATGTTAAATCGTCTTTGTAATAAATTTGCTATTAATACAAAGATGATTTTCCCCCCTTGAATACCTCGTCGATGTTTGTTGTTTCACTGTTACTGTGTGTGGTTAGACGGGCGGCGATGTCGACAATACTTTCTGTGTTTGCTTACTGGGTGTTGTGTGTTTCATCCCCTATTGGCACCCCTTGACACAAAGGGGTGCCAAAGAATACAGGGTGTCCTTCGGGAGTCTCGCGAGTCTCCATCCCAGCCCCCGAACCACCCGTCAGGCGCGGATTGTAAGCGAAACTTACGTGTGTGCGTAGGCTTTAAGACTAGCATGGAGATGCATCCCATAGTTGGGGAGTATGGGTGTGATTTGGTTTTAAATCTGTCTCCAGCATATCCGGCGGTATATGGACAGTTTCCGCAAGCCATACCGCAGCCGATGACAGCCGTGGCGCCTGCACAAAGAGAAGGTAAGTCGTTGCATTGAATCACACACGTTTTGTTGGTCCATCTACTTAATCACTTCCATTATTTCAAAAAAATCTTTAACAAAAATCATTTTGTAATACGAGTGATTAAATAGAGTTAAATAACCATAATCCATATAGGTAGAGGCCGCTAATTACCAGATTCAAATAAAGTCCCAAATAGTACAAAATAAACCTGTGGTTTTGGTTTTGGTTTTGGTGTGCGTTTCTCTCCTCCCTTGCCTCCCAAGTGTAAGATATTGATGGATCCAAATTAAATGTCTAAATGTTGCATCTATACCTATAATATACTTTATGTGTTGTATGTTTATTATCTATTACTATTTCCTTAATCGGATTATTTTAATCGACGTTTTATTTGTATGTATGTACGTATGTGTGGCTTAGCATTTTTTGTTCACCTTAAAAAAAGAAAATGATGTGATTGATAAATCGGAGATCGTTTCAAAATTTGAGTAAAACTTTTAGTGTTGTTAGCGACCAAACTAACTTTGTCATGATTGTTGTTTAGCTGTGGGTAGCTGCATTTTACCGTTATCTGTCTCAGGCTGTTCAATTTCTGGTCCAGAGGGGTGCAATCTGTTTATCTACCATTTACCACAAGAATTTGGCGATGCAGAGCTGATGCAGATGTTTTTACCATTCGGAAACGTAATCAGTTCGAAGGTGTTTATCGATCGCGCTACCAATCAAAGCAAGTGCTTCGGTGAGTAAACAAATTTTAATTCTCATAACACGTCGATTTATATTTTATATCCAAATTGAAGCTTGGAAATTTAACAAAAATATAAAAAATTTAAGCTGAAAGATTGCAGTTTAAGATGTAATCAAAATAACGTAATATATATCTCAAATTTAAGATTAAAGAATATATTTTGAGATAGGATGAAAAAATATAGGGTTTGACAATATATTTCTGTTTTTGAGTTATTTTAATTAGAATTAACACCATATAGTTTAAATCTGAATTATTCTGAGACGGATCGAGCTAGAAAGTTAAAAATTGGTATAGTTTCTAATTGGATATCCTCAAATTGAGCGAAATTGTTTATATCGGTCTTTCTTATATAGCGCTGTTTATAATTGTAACTACTATTTTGTCATATTTAATTGCATCGAATTTTAAATGTAACACCCTATATTTGATTAGCTTATCAGATAGGAATTTAATTCTCTACAAATCTTTTCTGAATATCCCTATACCTATCTGTTGTGGTTTTTGAGATATTGCGGAATTAATCAAAATCATGCAAAATATGTGTTCATTAGTATTGTAATGTTTTTGTAATTCTTTCGAAAAGAATTATTTTAATAAAAATGACCTTTACTAAATTTGATAATAAATTGATTTTTATTAAATTGAAGAATTTAAATATTCAAATATAATTGTCGAATTATATCTCAGGGTCAAAAGCAGGTTTTGGCAACACTGTCCAGACAAACACGTACATAGTTTAAGGTAAAATGTTGTCGACAAAATTAACGGAATTTACTGAATATAAGAAACAAATTCTCTAGATTAGTTAATACGAAGTAATATTTATCAACTCGGATATTGTTATGGTTTTAAACTCGTGAAAAGTTAAATTAATTAGAGAAATTGTAATCCTAACCTCAAAATTTTTTAGTGAACTTATCAAGAAAACTTTTCGTATTGAAGGTAAGATTTTTTTAAAGTTTGAATCAACAAAACTAAACTATAAATTATAAAAAAAATAACTTACTTAGCCAATTTGTTTTCATGAAAACTTCGGAGGTCAAACTCAGGGTAATATTTTCTTCGTGACAGGAAGAGTTGGATTCAGGACCAATTTTTCTCTTCACCAGAAGAATGATTCTACCAGGAACGGAACCAATTGCTTGCTTTGGTCAGGAACGGATTCAATTCTTTTCTTCGATGGTTGTGGACAGGAACGGATATTTCCAATACAGGACCAAATTAGTTTCTTCGATAGGAACAGGATCAATTATTTTTCTTCAGTGATATTTTTTTTACACTCATTAATGTAGATTTAATTTATTTTTTTTGGAGAGCAAAAAAATGCGTGCATCTCTTCAAACAACACAAACCACCATTGTTGTAGATAAATTCCGTTTTTCAAATGTTAAATTTTCAAATAACGTCTCCTGATTGGTTAAATTCATCGGTTTGAAATTTGTACTTTAGTTTTTTCAATGTTACCAACTGTGACATTTGAAACATCTCTAATTTAATTTGTCAAAAGATTATTTAAAAATTTTAAAATTATTTACAATTATGCATGATATTTCGTAATGTTGATGCTCTTTTAAAACAATTTTCAAATATCTATTCATTTTCTTCTGATTTCAACGATAAATTTTGCAATATGTTCAAATTAATTTTGGAAATTTTCATCAGAATTTCATTATTTCATACAAATATTGATTATTTTCTTTGTTAACTAAGTCAAGATTATCGTTTTCAATAGGCTTGAACTGGGTAGATAAAGATTTAAATAAATAATTTTGAGAAATTTAAATTGAGGTTATCTGATATCGAGAATTTTTAAAATTACATCGTATCGACTTTACAAGTGATATCTTAAGATTAGAACATTAAAGAAAAATAAAATGTATCGAAATTCACTATTATAGTTCTAGTGCAAGTGTTAGTTCTAGTTTTAATTGTTATTCAGCGCTAAGTTGTGTATTTTTAAGTTTCGGGTTTAGCCCTGTGTCTTCAGACGCTGAATGTTAGGTAAGGTTAGTTTTGTTTACAAACATTAATAATTAATGTTTGTAAACAAAACTTTCAACTTGCTATATCTCAAAACAACAAACATGATGCTTGGCACTTTTTTCTCCCGACCCCTTCAATTGACATTACAAAAGAAAACTTCACGCTATAATTGCCATTACAAATTGCCAAAGAATCTTCATGGTATAATTATTATACCATACATTTTATACATTTTAGTGCAGACAACAAACCAAAGTTTTTTAATACAAAGGTCATGTATCTATATACCGTTAAAAGTGAAGATGTAAGTAAAAAAAACGCTATTATAAGATAAAAATGGTTGTATAGAAAAATATGAACTGAATAATGTTGCTTGGCATTTTTTCCCCAAAAATAAAAGACATTAGGTTTGTTTGTACTGTTATTAAAACACACACTGTCATCGACAAAAAATACTCTTAACCAAAAAGGTACTTTTCAAATAGGTCTATATTACCACAACATCTTCCTTTTGGTCATCTACTTCAGCGGAAGACTGTAGGCCATTGTAATATCCATGGTAGATGGGAGGAATGTATTGCNAAAAATAGAAAAGTATCATACCAAACACTGCCAAAATGTGTACAGTCCTGGGCAATGGAGAGAGATAGTAGCAAAGTGTGGAACAAAACACTGAAGTTCATTGTAACATGCATGATGACTGAGGATTTCCTCGATTTGTCTAGGGTGCAAGAGACCTACTTTAACACAAAAAGCAAGTTTTGTACAGATGGTGTTACTCCTCCCGACCCCTTCAATTATACCATGAAGATTCTTTGGCAATTTGTAATGGCAATTATAGCGTGAAGTTTTCTTTTGTAATGTCAATTATAGCGTGAAGGAATGTTCGGTAAGGTTAGTTTTGTTTACAAACATTAATTATACCATGA